CATCATGTTTTTATTTTATCAGGCGGCGATGGATAGTGTCATCAGGTATGGGATAACGGCGTGGTCATTTGTTTTTTATTTGCTTTAATCTTTCATTGGCTGTGTCATGAGTGTGTATGCAGCCTACGTGTGCGTTTTTAGCTGTTATATGTATTTTATGTGTATTTATTGTCTGTAAGGGCAGCTACTACTATGCACTACTACGCACTTTGAGTCCATGACAAATTTCCACCAGGGGACAATAAAGTATATTCTATTCTATTCTACAATGAATCCACTGTGTGCAATTAAACAATCATTGGAATATTTGAATAGCCTCTTTTACTGGGTTGATGTATTTGCAGAGTAATGGGAGCAGGAATGTGGATAATCAACTGAAAATAGGAATCGTTGTGTTTTCATTACCCTACAATGAGTCTTGATCTATGCAGTAGGCAAACACTGGCTATAGATTGCCGTTTTTCCACATGTTTTATAGCCACCATAGTTTCTCCTATATGATTGGAAACAAAGGGTGAGGCAAGTTGGTTGCAATCTGCCCTAAAAAATCTTACACACTGGCCCTTTAATGTATGCTTTAAGATAATACAACAATTATTCTGATGAGTTCAAATGAGTGTTATAAATAAATAAATTAGTGTTATATATAATAATAATATATTATTAATAAATAAGTGTTACTGTTCTGTTTTGTTTTTTTACAGAGTCAACATGTCGGTTCCTAACTATCTTCTGACTGAAGAGCAGCTTTCGTGCTGCATCTGTCTGGATGTGTTCACTGATCCGGTCACATTGCCATGTGGACACAACTTTTGCAAAGAGTGCATCACACAACACTTGAACTTCAATTCCCAGCGGCAGTGTCCCATGTGTAAAGAGCGTTTTGACAGAAAATATAAGCTTGGGGTCAATACTTTCATATCTGAGATGGCTGTTCAATTCAGACAGTCAGCTGGAAAGAAAGCCAGGAATACCTCTGAGGAAGACGTTGCCAAGCCCGGGAAAGTTTTCGATGACGTTCCTAGAACTAGACGGACAGTCCTGAAGTCCTGCATATTGTTAACATTAGGCCTAGCATGTCTCACTATTTACTTTGCAACTAACCTTAAGCTACATCAAACAGTGTTGAGCCTGAAAACTGATCGACTGTTTGATACTGGGGAGAACGTGGCAGACAACATGTGTCCCAAGCATGGCAAACCTCTCGAGCTCTACTGCAAGAACGAGCAAATGGCCATATGTCAGTCCTGCGCTGACTCAAGTCACAGATTTCACCATGTTGTTCCCCTGAAGAAAGAATATGAAGTAAAGAGGACAGAGCTAAGGGAAACAGAGGCTATTATTCAGCGGATGATCCTGGATAGACAACTAAAAGATCAGGAGATCAGACATTTGATAAAGCTAAGCAAGGAATCTGCGGACAGAGAGATAGCAAATGGTGTTCAGGTCTTCACCGCTCTGAAGGAGTCTGTTGAGAGAACCCAGGCCGAGCTCATTGGGGTTATTGAAAAGAAGCAGAAAATGAAAGACGAAGAGGGCAAAGTTTGCATCCAAGAGCTGGAGCAAGAAACCTCCGAGCTGACGAGGAGACGGGCTGAGGTAGAACAGCTCTCACGCTCAGAAGACCACCTCCATTTCGTCCAAAGCTTCTCATCCCTGAAGGCTTTTCCAGTTACTAAAGACTGGACAGAGGTCAGCATTTGTCCAGCGTTATATGAAGGAATTGCGAGGACAGCTATGGTGAGTGCTGTGGATCAGATGACAAAGATAGTCAGAAAAGAAATGAAGAAGCTGCATGAAGCAGAGCTGAAAAGAATCCAGCTGAATGGGGTGGACGTGACTCTGGATCCAGATACAGCACATCCTGCTCTCATCCTGTCTGATGATGGGAAACAAGTACACTGTTGTGACACGTGGAATAAACCCTCCGACAACCCGAAACGATTTGAATCTGCGGTGCATGTTTTGGGAAAGCAGAGTTTCTCTTGTGGAAGATTTCACTATGATGTTCAAGTTAAGGGGAAGACTGGATGGACTTTAGGAGTGGCCAGAGAGTCAGTCACCAAGAAGGGAAAGATTAAACTAAACACAGAGAATGGCTACTGGTCTATATGTCTGAGGAACAGAAAAGAGTATTTTGCACTTGCTAGCCAACCTGTCCCTCTCTCTGTGAATTATCCTCTTGAGAAAGTGAGAGTGTTTGTGGATCATGAGGAAGGTCTGGTCTCCTTTTATGACGTTGATACTGCAGATCTTTTATTCTCTTTTACTGGCTGCTCCTTCAAAGAGAAACTATACCCATTCTTTAGTCCTGGTACTGGTGACAGTGGCAGAAATTCTGCTCCACTGATTATCTCTCCAGTCAGTGGATACAACAATCCCGATGGTCAGTAATCGATTGCTAGCCACAACCCTAACCCTAACCCACAACACAAGCAGCAACAAACAATGATACTTTTCATCACAAATAATGAATATTCTTTCTTTCTTTCAAGCTGAGGGGTCAAGGCCGTATCCCCACTTCCTGACACTAAGAATTTGGAATTTCCCCATTGTGGGACTATTAAAGGAATATCTTATCTTGAATATCTTATCTTATGCCAGCGCTCCTCTCTGACATGTGTCATTCTGCTCAGGCTTTGGATGGCAGTTGATGTGTGTTTCGAGGCATGTTATGTCTTTGACTTTAACTACTCCCATCAGTGTGTTCCTGCATAGGAATGTGGCAAGTGGTCTATAAAATGGGATGAAGTGAGTGTTTTTTTTTATTGGTTTCATAATTTTATTTTGCTTGTTTTGCTTAAAAGTGCATTGTTTATTGCATACATGTATTTTTTCCATTACCAAACTTGGTTGTATTTTAATACGCTAGGTTATCCAAGTAAGTTAACTGTTCAATAGACACGTGTAGTCTATTAAAATACAATTTTACTGTAACTCAATATTCCATTGAATGTAAACCAACTTTTTGGATAAAATATTTAACCCTTCATATGGGGTACAATTAATCCAGCATTTTAGTCAATATGAACCAGCATTTGGATTGAAAATTCAACCCAGATTATGTTGTTTTTAACCCTGCATTTTTTAATGTGTATGGTGCTCCACTTTGGCACTGTGAAGTTCTTGACAAACCTAGAGGGGGTCACAGTTTAATCAATGTGTTGTGTGACTCTGGGTGTCATTCAATGTGACGATAGCTTAGATCGGTTTAGATTTAGTTTGAGCACATATGTAGCCAAGAGAAACTCATATCTTAAAGCTTTGATACTGAAAATGATCTATATATGTATTTGCAGATCTGTCTACGCATTTGCAGATTTGTGTATGCATTTTCAGATCTATATACGCATTTGCAGATTTGTGTATGCATTTTCAGATCTATATATGCATTCATACACATTTACAAATCTTAATACATTTACAATCGGAACATAGATTTGTTGATTTTTTTTTTTTTTTTACACATTTACAAAAGCTGATTATGCACAAACAGATTCTGAAAACCGTTTGCAGATTCCTGTACACATTCACAATCTCAGTCCATATTTTACAGATCTGATACAGTTACACAGGTTTTGCTAGAGTAATGGCTCCATACAAGTTTTCATTGGGAAGATTCAGAGCTATTGAATTAGCTGTAATTCAAAACCATCAAGGCCCCTTTCTGTAGTTACTCCAAGAAAGCCCAGACAACTGCAATAGTTAAGATAAAATATATTTTAAAAGTGTAAACTAAAATGAGACAGTAGAGCTGCATGTTGTGCATTAATTCAACAACCCACCCCAGTCTGTGTTATTTGTGTAGCTGTGTGTGCTTAAGCGTCTATTGTCTGTGTCCTCGGTTTCTGCTGTTTACAATGTGGGCATAAATAAATGATCCACCCTAGTATCTGTGTGCATGCTATTGCAATCACAGGGGTAAACAGAAAGGTCAGGATAAATTGCTGATCTTGTGTAGGCTGTAATAGTTTTTCCTGGCACTTGTCAATGGTGAAAAAAAAGAGGACTGCAATATTATTTTATTATTTAAAAAGTTTAGCTGCAAATGAGTTGGAAATGATAAAAAAAAAAACCATTCAAATATACATCACATTCAATTAAAGTCTTTCCAGAATATAAATACTTTTGCACTGTATTCATATACTGTCCTCAACAGCTGTCAGACTCTACTAAATCCAGGTACACCCACACAAAAAAAAACTACTTTTGATTTGATTATTATTATTATATTATATTTTATTATATATAATATGTCCTGGTGACAAGGCGCAGCTCCCAAACAGAGTTTAATGTTTTTGTTTTTCTGCGACTATCTGACTAATGAAAAGAGCGAATGAGACGCTACTCATCGACGAATATAGAGCCATTATTGTAGCAAACCTTTTACAAATGTGAGTGGACAGTTGTGCAAATGTATCTGAACCCATAAATGTCTTATCATAATTTTATCAAGCATATCAACTGAACAGGTCAGGAACGGCAGTGTGGGAACGGCAAGAAAAGTTGGAGAAAAAAAATCATAGCAGCAAGAGTAGACACAAAGTCAAAAGCAGATGATTCATTTCTTTATCTTAGTAGTGATCGATATTCCTTCAAATAAGTTTACCCTCTCATTGACTCTGCTGCAGTGAGTTACATATTTAGGGTTAAATATATAAAAGACATAAAAACACTTTGATAATTGATGTTATTTTACCATAAAAAAAGCATAATTGCCCCGTTTAAGAATCTCCTTCTCCCCCATGGAAAAATTAATAAACCATGAATGTGCAAATTCATGCGATACAAAAGGTTTGATGTCTCCTCCTCTCAGTGTATTATTGTTTGACAGTTTGATCTGAGTTTGGTGCGTTGAGCTGTACAGACTCACTGAGAATGAGCTGT